TCTAACCCGCACTCACGCCCACCTGTTATATGGGGCATAATCCACAGTTTTCGATCGATGTAGCTATCACTCCTGACAGGATACTGCAAGATTCTTCCAGGATTTCTCAAGAATTGAACAGAATTGACACTAGAGAATATACGAAAAATGGTGTCACCTTTTAAATAAGTTTCTCATTACATCTAATGATTAGAGTAGTTTTAGCTCGATCAGTTCTTTGCTAATAAACACATAGTTTTAGTATATGTCAAAAAGATCCGCAACGATTTTTTTCTAATTTGTATATTACAGATTTCTCCAGAACTATTGACTACAACAAATACATACATTAATGCTTGATCTCGATTTATTTTTTCTTCATATTCTGTTAACATACGCAACCGTTTTTTTTTAATTTCTTTAGTATGAATTTTATGGAATTGAAGGCGCTTCAATCTCCACGGCTACGTGAAGGTTGTAATCAGCAATTGACTATTCAAAACATAAGTAGCCACCCAAACAAACCACCACTTGAAGTCAAAGATGTTCATATTCACTCAGCATCGGATATATTTGACCCTAAGGAAGATTACGTTGGCTTATTAATTTATTCATGTAAAAACAAGAATGATTTCAAATTACATGGCGTGCATTGCAGAGCTGGTGATATTTATATAAAACAATCAGAATGGATTAAAACTCATATAAAAGGAAGGCCCAAACGTGGTGATTATGTTCATGGTAGGTTATTTTATTCACTTTTTGGATGTTGGAAAAAGAAGAAAGTAGAATTTGTTGGTGCTGGGTTTTCATATAGAAAAGGTAAATGGGTGTTTAACTCTCGCACACTCAATACAATGAATCCGAACAATAATGATGATAAATACCATAATACTCAGAAAAACTTGCATACAGTTGAACAACAACTTATACAAAAGGTGTGTGATCACTTATACACAAATCATCAATGGCTAACGATTCCAGATGAAACTCGTATTACAGTCACAGAATTGTATAACATGAAAAATTTAGCGGCTTCTAAAAGTGTCGTAAAACACAACGTCGATTTAGAAAAAGTGAATTGTGATAGAAAACTTCATGGAGTTGTCAATTGGTTTAACTATAGGCAAGGTTATGGATTTATCAAATGTATCGGCTTAGATCAAGATCTTTTTGTACACTGTTCTGAAGTTATCAATCCACCAACAAATTCGCGGGCGTTGAGCATTGGTGAAAATGTTGAATTTAATCTTGCGCCAACAACAAAGGGGTGGCAAGCAAGATACATTATCAGTTGCTCTCATCATGACTCTGATCATTAATATCTTCTTCGAAAAAAAACACATATACTGATTAAAACTGATTTGGACACGAAATGGGATTCCTGTGGATGTTGAGAAACACTACACAGCCGTTTTAATACCCACATTATGATTTTCGATTCTTTCTTCTGTTATTCATTGATTTCTATCCATTTTTCTTTCAGGGTGTGGGTGTGTGCGTGGGTGATGGGTGCGGGGTGTGGGTGCGGAGCGTGTGGGTGGGTGTGGGTGTGGGTGTGGGTGTGGGCGTGGGTGTGGGTGCGGGTGTAGCTGAGGCTGTACTTGTGGATTTATAACTAAGGCACACATCCACACCCTAAAAAATTTCTATCCGAACAAAATTAATGAAATTGCATCTGTCTCAT